TACCTCAAACCTAGCAGCCTGAGCGGACGTGCATTTCCGTAACCGTCCGTTCCCGTTCTTGTATCCAGTTGCGGTTGCTGATTTTACGTGACCCCAAAGATCAGCACCTACGGTTGCGTTTCTCGATTTTACGCGTCCCCAAAAATCGACAGGATCCGTTAAGCTATCGCCTCTTCTGATAGGTTCTTGCGTTTCTCGATTTTACGCGTCCCCAAAAATCGACAGGATCCGTTAAGCTATCGCCTCGTCTGATAGGTTCCGTCAGAGTTCTCGTTCTTGGTGAAGTTGGGCCTGTTCCACCCCAACTCCCAGTTTATACCGGCTCGTCAGTTCCCGGTGAAAAAAGAATTGACTGGCGCCCGCCTGGCTTGCGGATGCACGAACGACGGGTGGACGGTCGAAGGTAACGTAGGTTGGTTCTCGAAGACAGATCGTTTTCTGATGTTTTGCTATCGGTGTCGAGTTAAGCAAAAAAATTACGTTACAGTGTAAAGACAGAACTGGACCTTTTTAAAATACCACCTACACAGACATCTATTGGGAGTCGCAATTGGATACATTATAAACAGGTTTCATTACTTTCTGATAATACATCCATTGAATTTTCTGTAGCAGGGCATGGAGATGAGTATATTGATCTAGACCATACTTCTTTTATACCTGCAAGTTCAGATAAAGCCCTCTGCCCAGCCTACAGCAACGGATAAAGTGACGCCTGTCAATAATTTTTTGCACAGTCTCTTCAGTCTAGTGGATGTATTTTTTAATCCAAAACTGGTATCACCACAGAGTAACACATACCCATACAGAGCATATATTGAGAATACTTTAAACTATGAGTCTACAGCGAAAAATACACACCTCACGGCAGGCCTGTACTATCAGCAATCACCATGTGCTCTTAACAACATTAGCAAATCTATTGCTAGCGGAAACGCTGGTCTTTCAGCAAGTTCCATGAAAGATGGCAGAATACTCGATTTCAGTGGGCCGTTACGTTGTGACGTTTTCAACCAGGAGAAATATTTATTAAACGGTGTTGACATGCATCTACGGCTTGATAGCTCTAAAGATAATTTCTGCTTAATGCAATCTGGAACAGGATATTATAAGGTCCATATCACAGAAGCCACGCTATTCGTGCGAAAAGTATAAATCAGTCCTATGATTCTTTTAACTCATGCTAAAGTTCTGGCTCAGACACCCGCGAAGTACCCCATAACCAGAGTGGAAGTAAAATCTCTTTCTATACCTGTCAGTACACAACGAGGGACTCTCGACAATGTTTTTATGGGTCAATTACTGAAGCGAATCATTATAGGCTTTCTCACGAATAAGACTTTCAACGGGGCACATTCCAAAAACATTTCAACATAAATAATCTATTGCTCTATGTTGATGGTGTTGAAGTGGTCAACAGACCTCTTCAGCCTGTATATGGTAATGAGTTATTAGTTTGAAACTACTATACCATCTTTATGGGAACTGGTATTCACTTTGGAAATACAGGAAATGACATCGGTCATACGGAATATGCCAACGGGAATTGTTTCATAGCGTTAGATCTCACGCCCGATCTGAGCGCATATTATGCATTGGATAATGTATTGCATTACATTGGATAATGTATTGTATATGCATTATGTATTGGAATCTTATAAAACATGGGATCGTCTGAATAGAAGTGGGATTCGCTCATGCTCTGGAAGCTACTATAAACTGCGTTGTGTACGCTGAATTTTACAATATTATTGTTAATAAAAAGGGTGATCTTGGTAAATGAATTTATTATAAGACTCAG